ATTACCATTCACCATACAGTAATGGAAATCCAAAACTATAGTTTTCCTACTTATGGTGTTGATGAGTTCCATTGTGCCACCATACAGAGTAGGATTTCCATATATAACTCTCATCATATGCTAATTTACCAAGTTCAAAATTTTATATTTGATGATGGAAATCCAAACTATCGGTAGTCCTGATTCACTCATATGTGCCACCATCCTTATCTTATTTCAGTAATAACTATTTCGTACTGGCCCAATTTTTTTACCATATACAGTCAGAATTCCAAGTTTTTTTAGTCATACTGTTGAAAATCCAACCTCATCAACCAGTATGTGGCAAGATAAACTAGGCCATATTTTATTTAGTAGCCATAACTGCCTGGATTTCCAGGATTTTTGTCCGATCTGTTCCATGCAACTATAACGGACGCTTGGCCTGATGCATAGAATCTTTGCACAGGGACACGCATACTTACCTGTTTCAAAAGTGAACTCTTTTGTTTCATAACGTCACTGCATATCATGAATAAGTATAGCAATGGATATGCCGCAGTATTGACCAGTCGTGGTAATTTCGCATCAGACCCCTACATGTATTTGAGAAAGAAAATTATAAAAATTGCCACTGCTGGGCCAGTTTAGCTGAAGCCCTGAATAGAGAGTTACAAGAAGGGAGAAATGTTGATAATAAACAGGTCTGGTGTAACTGAGATAATTTAGCATATTCAAATAAGTGCTTTGCATCTTGGAAACCATTGATTACTGGCCATTCAGGGAAAATCAGTGTTTATTCCATGATGTTTCAGTGGTCCCACATTTAACACAGTTATGTAGGCATGTATACTATTATTAAAATGAAAATACATTATATAGGTACACTCTACATCAGAAGACGAAGTCAGCTGCTCAGAGAAAATGCTAAAGTAGAGGTGAGTGCCCTTTCATATGCTTACATTTTTATTATGTTCAATTAAACCACCTGGTATTTAGTTTTAAATAGTACCGGTAGCAACTTATTAGTCCCTGTTCGGACGCAGTCCAAAAACAGTGACTTATGGATTGACCCTTGTGCGTCCTTGTGTATTTGCATCCGGACTTGTATCTTAGACATGCCTGGACCAATCACATTCAAACTTCACACATACATAATATTATACATATGCACATCATTTTGTTTCACGATCTGATTCATGATGGCCAATTGTTGGCCATTTTTGTACTAAAAAATCATCAAAATCAAGCATTTATAGATTTTGTTCAAACTTGGTATACATACTTTAGACATTATTTTTCAGATCAGATTTAAAATGGCCGACTGGTGGCCATTTTGTTTTAATGAATGTATTTCCATGACCATATCTCTGCCATGCTTTGAATGATTATGTTAAAATTTTATATATTCATTATACATCGTGGCATAGATATATTGGTTTTACTATCTGATTCAAAATGGCCAAATGGCAGCCATTTTTATGCTAAAAATCATCAAAAATCAAGCATTTCTGGCATTCCAGAATGGGATCTTGGCATTATGAATGTATTTTGTTCAAACTTGGTGCATTTATTAGACATTATGGGTTCCTGATGCACCTCATTTTATTTTTCAGATCGGATTCAAAATGGCTGACTAGCAAGCATTTTGTTTTAGTAAATGTGCTTCTCAGCCCATATCTGACATGCTTTGACTGATTATGTTCAAATTTTATATATTCATAATCATTATACATCATATTATAGTTATATAGATGCATTCAAAATGGCTGACTGGTGGTCATTTTGTTTTAATTATAATGCTGTTTCAGAGCAATATTTCTCAGTATGAACAAGTTCTCGTTTGATGATCAGATGCAAGATGTCATTCATTTTAATGTTAAAAAATCACCATAATCAAGCATCAACTTCTGGATCCATATCTCTGACATGTTCATGTTTGAACTACATGTATATTATTATAAACAAAACTATATATCTTAAATTTGATAACTAACAGGGACTGTGCCATGCATGGCCTGTTTTTAATATACTTGTGGACGTTGAAGGTTATTTTCAAACTTGGTACATACATTGAACATAATAGTACCTTGGTGCATGTCATATCGTTCTTGAGATATAATTCAAATGCTGTTCCAGAGACATACACAAATACATTTGTTGCATGATCCAATTGAAGATGAACGAATAATGCCCAGGAAGGAAACTTGAATTGGAACTCAGTAGGCATGCTGCAACACAAAATTGCATATTATGGATGGTTTTCAAACAGATAGTCATCTCTATTCACGTATATCATATTGGATTGTCCATCATCGTCTGTCTGCCCATTGTCATCCGTTCGTCCATCGTCTTTCAACAATTGCATTTTCAATGTCTTTTTGAAAACCACCAGCTGAATTCTTGATTCACAAATAATTGTCAGATGCGATGGGATTCTATTTGCGCATACACGACCTACCTAGCAGCAAGCATGGGTAGGACAAAATTAAAAATGACATGTAGTCAGTGGCATATTTGAAATAGTTTTTTAAAGATAGTGAAGTGAGTGTGGGTGGGTACAAACGAGAACAGCTAGAAGAATTATTTAAGACAGCTGCAAAACATGAATTTCCAGTTGAAAGGATGATTTTTTCAAATAGAACATGGTACATGTACATGTGTGTTTAGCATGCATGTTAGACCTCAAGTCAAGCAATATGCACAAACACTTGAACAATAAACACGCAAACGCTATAATTTCAGGAATTGGGAATTGCTTTGATACTTGGTATGTAGGTTCCTTCAGTACACGACATGTGTGATGACATCTTCAATTCTCTATTTTTGGCAAATATTTCTGTCATTTTTGGTAAAAAATGCTATTTTTGAAAAATACCAGCTCAGCTGCTTTGATACCTGGTATCAAATTGTGCTGGCAGTTTTCAAGAAGGAGTCTTTCGGGTGTGCCTCACTTGACTTGGCTACCACAATGCTCAAACTTGTAGGACAGGGAAGCTATTTAGAACGTCATGTTGCTTGTTGTACTTGGAATTGGTTATTTTTAGCTGGCAAAATTAAGTATTAATTTATGCCAGGTATAGTTGATTCGCTGCTACAGTAATTCTCTGTCCCACTTTGAAGAAAAAATCCCTTCATATAAATTGAGTTAAATAAAATCTTGTGAGAGATTTACAACTTCTACACGTATATAATATAATTTCATGACTATATTATTCAATTGAAAATATTTAAAAAGGTCAAATGAATTTGAAGACAT